GTGGCTTTTGGACATGCAGGCCGGGGTCCACATGCATGCTAGGTCCCTTAGGGTGCAGGTCAGAGCCTGGGTGGGAAGGGGGTCAGGCTGGAACTGGGGCTGGCTCTCACCCATGCTGCCATGTTCCAGTATAGAACTCCAAGGAGCCTGAGAATTCTAGATTCAAACCTGGCCAAAAGTTAGGTTAGCAAAGGCAATAGGCACACTTGGGCATGAACACTCCACCCAGCCTCACCCCCAGAAGAGCCCACACGCTAGCCTTAAGTCCTAAAATGTGAGGCAGTCTGTGGGACTCAGAACCCAGAAGCAGGCTTTTGCCCACAAATCACAGCCTTTCCGTCTACTAGCTGTGTGACCTTAAGAAAGTCACTTAACCCTTTCTGAGCCTTACTCTACTCATTTGTAAAATGGGAGTGATACTAATAAAACAAATAAGGCAATGGCTGTAAAGTGCTTAACACAGTGTCTGACATGTAGTTAATAATAAATGGTAGCTGTTTGGGTGCTGTAAATTATGCCAACATGACTAAGGGCTTTGTCCAATAAGTGACCAGGCCATTCTGAAGCTTATGACCCTAACATTATAGCCACGATTTGGTCTGTTAAATACTGTGTTGTCTCCTTGTTTGACCCTTGTGGAAAATGCACTTGGTCATGACTTTAAGAACTTCACTGGGAGTTGCAGGTGTCCACAGCAGTGCAGGGATAGGGTGCACAATACATGGGTTACCATGGGAGACAGCCGCGATCGCCCTTCCCAGAACAATTCACAGTCCACTGTCATTGGGAAAGAAAGCTGTGTGCTGACTGGTGAATGCTGTCTTCCTCCAGGTGGAGACAGCTGTCCACTCTGCCTGCCGCTACTGCTTCCGCTGTTATTACTGATGCCAATCATAATCCTACTTCTGGCGTTTTGGATACGACAGAAATACAAAGCCAGTAAGTTCTATTTTCCATTGTTTTCCATGGGTGTGTGGATACAGGCCGCAGGGGAGAAGATGAGGAAGGGAAAGA